GGTTGTCTCTGGGAATGGACAAGGACATAAAGAGTATGCTATATTTATTGACGTTATTTTTATACTTTAAGAAAAGAACTCCAATAGCAAATACTAACATTTATTAATTCTGGAAACATTGACACATGCTTGTCTATTGTATTATTCTATGCTTTCCCGCCTTTTAAAATATTTCATATTACTAAAGAGAAACAGGTAGACTGGGCTGTCATGTTGGGATCTGCCTTATTCTCCAACTCCTCTCTTTCTGAATACTTGAAACCAGGACACAGTGTCAAAATCTTTTTTCTTCTAGAAAGTGGAATCATGAGCCAGGAATGGAAAGGAAAAGAGAAGCTAGTCACGCAGTTCTGCCCCTTGCCAAGTAAATTAAAAAAAATATTATAATAATAACAACAATAAACAAACACATAGGGACAGAGATTGGATTGGTGGTTACCAGAGGGGAAGGGGGGAGGGAGGAGGGTGAAAGGGATAATTGGGTACATGTGTGTGGTGATGGGTTGTAATTAGTATTTTGGTGGTGAACACGATGTAGTCCACGCAGAAATAGAAGTACAATGATGTACACCTGAAATTTTTGCAATGTTATAAACCAATGTTACTGCAATAAACAAAAAATTAAAAAAAAAAATTATAGATTTCTAAAATATTCTTCAAAATTGAACAAGCATAGATTGTCTTGAGGATGGGAAGTCTCAGGACTTTAAGATCAGAGTAGGAGATTATTAGAATGAGAGATGCTCAAGTACTGGTGCAAAGGTATAAGCAAATAAGTTCAGGAGAGGTTAATGACCACCAGGCAGGGAGCTCAAAGGTGACCTAGTTCTGCTCATCTTCTCCATGGACTCTCCTCACAGCTGCCCCCAGATGGAGTTGTAAACAAGACCTGTCCCTATTTGAAAAACATAAACTGGAGGACTTTAGATTAGCTGGGTGCCAACACTAAGGAATGACATTCCATTCTTCCCTGGATGTGAAGGAGAAAAATGAAAGTTCTGTTCTCAGCGAGCACAGAAAGACAGTGAAGCACTGGGATCCTGGGCAGAAATGATGGTCTCTGGGACTAGGCTCCGGTGGGTTGCATACTGATCTGGGCATGGTTGTTGAATGTGGTGGTCACAGTCAGAATATTTGCAGTCTCTGCGTCCCCTGGGGGTTCAAGATCCAAAGCTCTTCATTAGTCAAACTCTTCCACTCTCCTGTGATCAGAGGGCAGCAGAAATCCTTGTGGAGCAAGGCTCAGAGATGAAGAACTTTGCTTTGGCTCATTCTCTCACCTTGACAGATAAAATGTATGCCATCTTCTCTGTACCTTTCTTGGCTCACATTCATTTCAAGGACCTCATACGTCAACACACCTTCCTTCTATTATTGGGTT